GACCGACTTCTTTCGACTCCTTGCCGATTCCTATTACCCGCGGCGGCCGCCCCGATAGAGGAATGTTGTAATTAATATAACTACAAAATTACATATACTTATTTGAAATAAACTACGAAAAATATGAGTGTCCTGTTCTAACGCGACTAGACGAAAATGGAGGAATTTTATGAGCAAAACCATGAAATAAATTGTTAGTTAAAATCATTGTATCAAAAAATGGTATTCCGTTGTTTTGATCAATTTTATACCAAACAATTAATTAAGGTTACCCCACCTTATGAGTTTTCCCTCCTTTTTGCCATTTTTCAAATGTCGTGTAATCGTGGGGTTGAGATGGGGAGTTGATGTCCGAGTGGATCGAGGTCACGATAGCTCAAGTGGTAAAGCAGCGGCGTATCTAGCCGAAGATCGTGGGTTCGAATCCCGCTCGTGCCATTAACTTTTTTTCTTCTCAACTAATAACCTTAATTAATTGTAATGATTTAATTGCTCAAGCGGACCACGAAATTAGTGAATTTATACCAAGCCATTAAAATTATTATTTTTTAAATAAAAATTAATGAATTTTTGATCTCGGTTAATTTGGTTTATATTAAAATAAGTGTGTAATTAATATAACGACAATAATACATGTAGTTCGAATAAAAATATGAGTTTCCGGTTCTTTTGCCTTCGACTACTCGATGCGACCCGACGAAAATCTGGACAATGGGAATCGCAGAGCGTAGAGTAGGGTAGCGTTGCATAGCATCGGGCAGTTGGGCAGGGGGGATTCCTGCCAATATTCCATACAATCTTATGGAAAAAATGTAAACATGGGCGTTGGATTTGCATCGCATAGCGTTGCATCGTGTAAGTTTGTTCCCGGCTTTACTCTCCCTTTCTTTCTACCTCCCTATCTTTTTCTGTATAGTTTTCTATCACAAGTGCTACTAATTTTCTTGCACCCACAATTTTAATTTTTTCAATTTTTAAATATAATTATTATTTATGGCTTAATATGGATTTAGGTATATGAGTTATTCCTACTCTCCCTTTTTTGCTGGATTTCTTAGGGCCGTTGTCTGATATTACCACATGACATGGAACCCATCAATGTAATAGACCATTTGTTATTCTGGTTGTGATTATTGTTGCACTATTGAGATGTGAAAGAAAATGAACATCATGATAGAAAATTCAAATATTTGGAATATATCTTAAGTTTTAATGTCTTTTTTTTCCAAAAAATATTGTACAATGAGTTCATCATTGTTTTCTTGGAGATGTATTTGTTTCACTATAGTTTTTGTATTTCGAATTGATGAATATTTTATTTTTATAATTCGTCATGTAAAAAAATATTTATTATCTGCCAGTGACAAATCAAATTGTCATGATAATACAACGAATTAATCCAGTCAAACCAATGGCATTTCTAGTTCTTAGGCTTGTCATGCGTTATACTCCATCAAAAAGTAAAATAGTGAAACTTTACCCCTTAGTGCAAATTTCCTCCTGTTGCAAAATCCTTCCTCTTTGCGATTCCAGTTAATTCCCTTCTTCTTTCCGTATCACAATTACATCTTTCCCTATCTAGAGAAGATATAGCAGCGAAATTCCTAATTAAAAATGGAAAGGATGCCAGAGTTGACACGCCTTTATATTGGCTGACTAAATGTAACCGGGTTATAATATGAGAGGGCACCTCCCTGGCAGGTTTACTATGGTATATCATTACCCATCTCCTGTCTCTACATTTACAAGCTTTGCTCGCCTGAGTTGAATTTCACACCAAAACGGGAGACGTGAATATGTTCTGGCGTTGGCTAAATGATTCATTTTCCCTACCTCTCAGTTTGGTCCCGTTTTGTAAAAAGGGTTTGGGTGGAGAATATCGTTTTATTTCCAATGAACAAACATGCAAAGGGCATTAGATCATTTTCAGATATATTTATCCAGTCGATGATTCACGTCTCGCCGTTTCTATTTGTTTTATAAAGTGAATTGTCTGGTAATAAGGTTCATCTCTTGAATTCGAATTTCAATGTAGAAGATACTTGAAAAATTAAATTACATTTATTAAATATATTAAATTATATTTATTTCCTAAATTAATTAAGTCGGAGAAAGAAAGGGAGACAGATAACCTTAAAAAAGCGAACGAGTAAAATGAAAAAGTTATGTACACGAAAACTTTATTTTTACCTTGAAAATATATTAACTCTAAATTATTTTCACAAATAGCATACCTTTATTACACTAATTTTGCACTTTTTTTAGGTTACCCAAACCTAAGTTTAAGATCATTCACCTGAACGAAAACCACATTTTTGTTTAATTATAAATGGCAAAAATATTAAAGCCTTTTTTACACAAAATGTTCCAGCGGACGTATTTAAACGAATGGATTATATGTTGTCTGCGGGACCATAAAACGATACAATGTACGTTAGATGAGCAGCGATTACCCTATCAAAAATAAAGTTGTAATGCACTATTAGTTGTGATAAACATTCTAGAGTGCATTAAAACAATACGTAATTGTAAATTCAACTATTCCTCCGCCACCCTCGACATTCCTGACCTGACATGCTGAGATTGCCTCTAGATAGACAGATATTTAGACCCTGTATTATTCTCGAGGGGAAGTTTAAGAGGTTGCCGTGAGAGACAAAGAATACACATCAGACACTGTGATAAAAGCCGTTTACGCAGTTAACCCCAGTGTAAACCCTGTTATATGGTAATAAACACAATGAGCTCTTTAAACAGAGTTATTTTAACAACTCGAAAGAGAAACCATGCAGGGGTTTAAATTACGTACACCGTGATTCCCAGTGCCATAGCCTTCGATTAATTGTTGTTTTCGACAGTTCACACTTTTGTTTTTGCCAAGATTTCATAAATTACAATAATTTAAATTTATGCATATAATCAGGTGGTGTGAAGCCGATAATTAATTTTCCTTAAAAAATGGCTTTCTTCTCAGCCTAAACAAAAGTCTACTGTTGATATTTAGAGCGATATTTCAGCAGCAGAATTTGTAGGACGTCATTAAATCTCGGGTATAAATAAGGAAAGAGTAGTGAAAAGAAATGATTGCCACAATTTTCATTATCAGAAGGTTACTACTGATGGGGAACTGATTAACGATATAAAAATATCTAGCGTGAAAATAGTATAAAAGGAGGCTAATAACGCCTAGGTAAGTCTATAAAACATGAGGAAAAAATTTATTCGAAAAATACTTATTTAAAAATATTTGGTAGGTTATCAATGTGTGCGGTTGGGATAGAAATATAGATAAATAGATAGATTGTGAGTGAGTGAGCGAGTGAGCGACTGAGCGACTGAGCGACTGAGCGAGCGAGTGAGCGAGTGAGGGAGTGAGCGAGTGAGTGAGTGAGTGAGTGAGTGAGTGAGTGAGGGAGCGTGCGTGCGTATGCGTGCGTGCGTGCGTGCGTGCGTGCGTGCGTGCGTGCGTGCGTGCGTGCGTGCGTGCGTGTGTGTGTGTGTGTGTGTGTGTGTGTGTGTGTNGAGAGAGAGAGAGAGAGAGAATGAAAGTGTGAATGAGAGTAGGATAGAGAGAGAAAGAGTGTGAGAGATAGAAAGAGAGGAGGAGGAGAGAAAAAAATAGGAGAGGAAGGAAAGGAATGAAAAATCGAAAGAGAGAAAGTGATAAACGTAGAGTACAAAGAAGAGAGAGAGAAAAATATAGTTTGATGTGGGTAGAATAGAAATTAGGTAGGTCCTGCTGTCCTCTAGCACAATTCTTTTATCGGGTGACATACCTACATGATCTCTATATGGAGGCAAAGAATGACACCCTTCCCTTAAGCGGGACACTTCGAGCTACATTTCTCTTTCTTGCCGGACTTATTGAATTATTATTGTTAGAAACTGTTTTTGGTATATTTATATGTAAGTTTAAATTCTATTGAAGCTAGTTATTGCAAAGAATTGATAATTGTTTGATGTACACAAGGAAAACGAAAAGCATTTAGCCACCCTCTCTTACAGCAAAAAATAAAAGAATGTTTATTTGGAAAGCGGACGGCCTAGAATAGCATGAATAATTTAATGAACAATGTTCCTCCAATATGTCCCCTGGGGGTGCCTGGGGTGAGGGGGTGCACAAGTAGTATATATCACTTCTTACGATATTGCCCAACTAAACTGCAATAATTTTGCCGGAAGACAAGGCACCCCCACCTCTCAAGGACTAAAGGACACAATATTACACCTCTTGGTAAAAGTTCGAAATTGTTCAACAACTATTTTAATCAAGCGGTTCTGGGCTTGATGAGAAAAGGTGCGAGTCGGGGCGAGAATGGGGAATTAAACAGGAATAACTGCTGGCATAGAGCTCAACTGGGGGAAGGAAATTGAGCAAATGATCCGTTTAATTTGACTTGCTCCCTCCCCTTGTCTGAAAGAAACGTGAGAAAGGTAAAAGAGTTTCCCCCCCCCCAATCAAGTGTCGCAAATAGATTAATTGATTTTCAAAATCTTCTTTATTCTTTATTAAAGAAATTAACGACGCCTTTTATTCCAGATAAGGGATAGGGATGAAAGAGGCGACCCCAAGGCACCACGTCCTGTGAATGTGTATTGTTCAGTTTTTACAACTCACTGGCCAGCTTCAGGTTGTTGATCAATTTAAAAAACCTTGCCAGCGGCTCCTTATTGGAAAATCTTGTTTGCGGCTATTTCTCCCCTATTTACAAAAATTTGAACCTGCATAGACCTTCACAAAAGAATAAAATGTGTTCAGCGTCCTCCTCCTCTTCCTGGTAGTATCTTCAAGTGTTTCTTCAATCCGTACTCCTACTCAGTGCATATGCCTTCTTAGGCAGTGCTCTGTCAGCAGTCGAATTAGAATTGTTGTCGCTCGGTTGCTGTTGCCTTCTAGTAATTCTTCAGTCAGTTTTGTGGATGGTCTTTCTATGAATCTCTCATATGTCTTGTGACGGCTATCGCCAAGGTCCTTCAACCAAACAAAAACAACAACGGGCAACAATTAAACCAAAATGTACACCTTTACATTAATTTATTTACAATGAAAAAACTAAACAATGAAACCTTTCCCAAAGGGTGTAAATAAAATAAAATAAACAAATCTACTGATGTGAGTCCAATTTAGCCGGTCGAGCCGTTCCCACGTGAAAGATGTCCTGCTGCCAGTGACAGTGAGTGTGGAGGCGGGGCGGTGTCCACCTTTTTAGTCTGCAGTAAGCGCCTTTGAAAAAAGCAGGAAGAAGTTCGGTTTCTCGCATGAGTTCTCTCCAGGCCTGAGCTAGCTCTGCCGTCCCCGCTTCGCTCCTCCTCGATCCCCTCTCTCGCTTCGGCGGTTTGCCGGCCGGTGCGCTCTCCTCGTTGCGCGGGTTGTTCGTCATAAATACACCCTCGATAGAGTAAAGAAAAAAATTAGAAAAAAAAGAAATTTTTGTACTTACAGGGTAAATGGTGTTCAATGTAAAGTTTACAGTTTATTTACAATGAAGGTGCACATTCCAGGTACCCAGTTATATTGTTAATATAATTCAATATTGTTTTTGCTTCGAATTTACTTGTTATATTAGTTTTTTTTTTATGGTAGCAGCAGGATGCTTGTGAAGGATGAAGTGAGAAGATGAAGGTAAGTTTTTTTTTTTTTTTTTTTTTTTTTTTTTTTTTTTTTTTTTTTTTTTTTTTTTTTTTTTTTTTTTTTTTTTTTTTTTTTTAATCATGGTTTGTTTTCAGGTTTCAGCTGGGTGATGTGAGCATGAATTACCACATTTGGGTTATTTATGGACTGAATTAAATAGGAGACTTTGTTAAAGATTTTTATAATTTTATAAGGGCCTGAAAATTTTTCACATAGTGAGGAACAGATGTTTTTGTCCTTACTGGATAAAATATAAGTTTTTTTGTACACTATGTCGTCAATTTGTGGCGTTATTGATGTGTCATTTTTATAGAGTTTTAAGCGTGTTTTGTTGGCGTGTATCAGATTTTCGTATGTTGTTTTTAACACTTGATCCATATCTTTTTGTGGGATTTGCTTTACGTTGTTTTCTATGTTTAATTTTAAGGTGAGTGGATGTTGCAACTCACGTCCTAGAAATATCAAGGAAGGAGTTGATTGTGTGGTGTCATTTTTTGCCGAGTTGAGAGCACTGGTGAATATAAATAAATTGTCTTCCCAGCCTTTTTGAGAATTGCTGTGGTAAGCTCTAATTGTTTTTTTTATACTTGATATATACCTTTCCGCAAGATTTGATTGCGGATAGTGTGGGATATTGGCAATGTAGGTGACGCCCAAGTTAAAAAGAAAGTTTTTGTATTGCTGCGCTCTAAAACAGGATTGCCTATCTGCAATGATGAAGGTGGGCAACCCATGTTGCGCAAAAATGTGATTTTTGAGAATTCTAATTACTGCCTCCGTTGTTGTCTTCCTGCAAGGGATAGCGAATAAAAACTTGCTGAAGCCATCCACAGCCACAAAAATGAATTTATTTCCAGCGGAAGACGTTGGTAGTGGTCCTATGAAGTCTATATATACTTTCTCCATTGTACGTTTAGGTGGAGTACTGTGCAAAATTTTGCCATACGGATGAGTGTTCGGCTTAATTCTCATGCAAGTTTCGCACTTAGCTACCTTTTCCTTAATGTCGCGATGCATTTTGGGATATGTGAGTAGTTTTCTCATCCTGCTTAGAGTTTTAGAGACTCCGAGATGTGCCCCATACGTATTATAGTGGAAATATTGGAACAAGGGTGCTTTCATGCTGTCTGGCACTAGTAGTTTCTTTACATCTTTATCCCCATTTGGCACGTAGTATACAAGGCCTTTAATTATTTTGATATTAGGATCATTATTATTGATTTTCCCTGATATGTAAGAATCAGTTTTTTGAGCCTGTCCGAAATCGTTAAATAATGACGGCAAATTCTGCAGCGGGGATGAAAAAAAGGTGGCATTTATGTGATTAGATTCCTTCTCCGTTTCATCTGTTTCGGGTAAATCTGAGAATCGTGAAAGGTAATCTGCCACGCTATTATTTTTTCCTTTTACGTGTTTAACACTGAAGGAGTAAGAATCTAGCTCAGTTACCCATTTTATGGCTGGGTTATTTAATATTCTTCCTCTGTCCCCTTGTAGAAAATGGACTAAACCGCTACAGTCTGTGTAAAGGGTGAATGGTCTGTGTACCAGATATTGTCGGAAACGTCTAAAACTAAGTATTACTCCGTAAAGTTCCTTTTTATACGTAGAGTAGTTTTTCTCCGAACCATGTAACATTTTGGAGTAAAAGGCTATAGGGCGTACATTGTTCTCGTCGTCTGTTTGTGCAAGCAAGCTTCCGACAGCACAACTGGAAGCATCGGTGTACAGCAGGAACCTCTTATTGAAATTGGGGGTCATTAATAAAGGGGGCGACATCAGAAAATTTTTTAAGGTCTTGAACGAATTTTGACAGTCATAATCCCAAGTCAGTTCTGCATTGTTTGCCTTTAATCTGTGAAGGGGTGCTGCGATTTCCGAAAAATTCGGAATGAACTTGGCAAAAAATGAACAAAGACCCAGGAAGCAGAGAGTTTGTTTTAATGTCTTCGGGGGTTCCAGATTTCTAATTGCTGTTACTCTGTCGGGATCAATGGCTACTGTATTAAAAGACAATTGATGTCCCAGGTATTTCACCGACCTTTGAAACACTTTCATTTTGTTCGGGTTGAGTGTAAGTCCGTTTTCCCTTAAAATTCGCAAGACGTGTCTGATGTGTTGCAGATGTTCGCGGTTGTTGTTGGAATAAATTAAAATGTCGTCTAAGTAATTCCAGACAAATTTATATTTCACCTCTCGAAAAATTCTCTCAAGGTACTCTGTCAAGGCTTGCGAACCTAAAGAAATACCCATGGGCACCCGAAGAAATTCAAAGTGACCGTAGCTTGTTTTGAAGGCGGTATATTGTCTGGAGTTTTCGTGTAAAGGTAATTGAAAGAAGGCATTTGACAAGTCCAACACACTAAAATATTTGGCTCCGTGAATGTGATCGAGAATATGGTCAATGGTGGGCAGCGGCCATGCAACAAATCTTATTTTTTCATTAACCTTTTTATAGTTGACTACCAACCTCTTTTGACCCGGACCTTCATTTTTTGTCACCAAAAAGGCCGGAGAAGCCCAAGGAGAATGGCTTATTTGAATCACCCTTTGTCTTATTAAATCGTCTGTTATTTCCCTCATACATTCTAAATTTATTGGGTTCAAGGGATACGCGGGTTGGTTGATAGGCACACAATTATTTTCCAGGAAAATTTCCAATTTATAATTTTTTGCTTCGCCTATCTTATCAGTAAGCACATCAGGAAATTCTTTGACCAAGTTTTGCAATAATATTGTTTGATCGAAACACGGTATATTTAGCCGTATTTGTTGTTGAGTTTCCGGAGCCTTGGACTCGTTATCGCTTGAGATCCTGTTGCGATCCGTATTGTTATTGTGGGCATTGTTTTCATGCGATTTGTCTTTCGCTATATAATTTGCACACGAGAAAAAATTTGTTTTTAGCTCACCTATTTTTTCAATACTAGTGCATTTATAAGTTTTTAGCGGGTTGTGCATGAAGGATATGCTTTCGTTCTGTGCATCCAAGATTAACCCGGTTTGCTTCATAAAGGTGTAGCCTAACAAAATTGGAATTGGCATTTCTTTAATGATAACAAAACTAATAAACCAAGATAAATTATTGAATTTAATTTTTATGTTTGCCTGTTCCACAATCTCAACAGCAGCGCCCGCAATTGTGACGATCCGTTTTTTCGTGCTATTCGTTGTGTGTCTGCTTATTCTTTTTCCCAACGAATCAAAGCTTTTTTGGGAGATCGCATTGATTGAACTGCCAGAATCTATCAATGCTGGCAATTCCATCTGTCCCATCTTGATTTTTATGAAGGGCAAATTTATTGATACGGCATTCGTCTCGCTTGGGCGTGCCGCTGGCGTTATTAGTTTTTTGAATTTTTATTCAGTGAGGTTGTTTGTAGCGGCTGAGTTGAACTATGAGAGGGTTGATTAGCTGTAAAAATTTTTTGAAGTTTCAAAACTTGTTCTATGTTTTCATTAAGTGTGGCGAACGCTTTGTCATATTGTGTGAACTCTTTATTTTTGTTTGCATGATATTTAAGGTCCCTTTTTCCTTCCGATCGCCTGTTGGGATTTCCGAAATTTGGATTATTATTTGTATTGTTCCCCTTTGTTTTGTAATTTTGGTGGCGTTTATTTCTTTCCCACGAATGGCCAATGGAGCGCCCACTTTGTTGATGAAAATCGTTATTTCTGTATCGGCGTTTTTGTCTAAAGGAGTATCTTGGTCCTTCACGATAAAAATTAAAATAACGATTTTGCGGTTCATTGCCATGATTTCGATCAAATTTGTCACGATTTGCATTTAGATTAAAATTAGGTATTTGCCCCTCTCCACCTGCGACAACTGAAGCGTAAGTTACTTTATTGAAATTTGGACTGAGATTACGCCCATACCTTTCATTAAAGGTAATTTCTATGTCCTTTATGGATTCACAGAGCTGTTGGTAACCTTTCAAGCCGTCTGGATTTCTGAAATAAGGCATAAATTTCGGGTGAATCGCATTAATTAAGTTGGTTATATTCTCGCGTTCATTGTTTTCTCCAAATAGTTTCAAGAGCTTCATCTGGGCGTCCACATATTCCCGCAAGGAAGTATATTCATCTTGCGGCGAGAACAAAAATCGAGTCTTTGTCTGAATATATTGTCTCGGCGACATGCCATGCTTCAGCAGGGAGGTAGCAAAAATTTCAAAGGTAATTTTGGAATAGGATAAAGCATTATACAAAAAATTTGCCGTCGAGACATCCTGCTCGCGGTCGGCCAACACTGACAAAATCCTTTTGAATTTGTGGCTATTTCGGTGCGCTATTGGAGACAGTTGGAGTAGGAAATTAACAATATTGTTGGGCTGATACAGTTTAAAGTCAGGCAGGTCCCTTATTTTGCGAGAAAGTGTTGGAGAAAGTCCCCTTTTGACATATAATTTAACGGCCCCCTGATCGTTCGGGATAATGATTTCTGAATCGTTTGAATCTTCTTCATCCGTCTCTCTCAGGATACTAAAATCAGGAAGTGCTCTCGGCGGGGTTTCCAAAGCAGAGCCCATCGAGTTATTGTGTCCCGAAGGATTGTCCTGATCTCCCGTTTGTGTTTCAGGAGGGGTTGTTTTTCGTGTGCTTTGCATGACTGTGACTGGTTCGTCTTGCAGCGTGTTAGGGGCGTCCGTGGTTTTGTTAGTCATTCTATCACCCATGAACGTCCGTAACAATTCTGTTAACCCTTTAATTTCCATTTGTAAGTTGGTCAATCGTTCAGTCGTTTTCTTGTCGGATTCCTCCATGTGTGTTTTCAGAATATCTAGTTTTTCATTTGTTCTACTATTTTCTTTCTTTAATAGTAAAATTTCATTACATGCATCACACACCCATGCAGGTCTCCTTTCAACGGGAATTTTTAACCAGTTCGCCCTAGTTTTGACCCTGCAACAACCATAGTGAAATTTCTTATCACACTTCGGGCACCCGAGATACGTATCCGGCGTGACCGGGCTCATGCATTGATGACA